GGAGATCGCAGAACAAGAAGCTGCTGTGTGCTGGACACACACAGGCTGTCCCACGGCACCGGCACCAGTACGCAGACAGCGGGGGAGTATTTTTCACCTCGTTTTGCCTCCTGCAGCTCCGGAGGCCAAGCGGCTCCCCGAGGCCGGCTGCTCCGGGATCGCCCCCGCTCCCTGCATGGGGACAGCTGCACAAACGTGAGGCTGGGTCCAGGCAGGTTTCATTGCAATTCTCCATCATTTAAGAACCAAACCTTCCCCCACCCAAACCTCCTCAGCTGTAGGCCTCAGCCGTTTGCTGCCTCTGCCACAGAGAGACTTTCCAGCTGTTCTCCCACTTGCTTGTGTCAATAGCTATTTTTACAAGATTGCTTTTCTTTACTTCTTAATTGATCTAAATCCTTTCCCTTAGCTTTCTTGTTAAAGGTGGATTTAAAGAGAAGGAGTTCATTATCTCGGCCATTTTTGAGTCATTATGAATGTCATCTCTCTGCTCATTAATTACTCATTACCCCTCAGCTCTGGAGGGCTGCTTTGTCCCTGATGTGTTTGTGAGCAGCTTCCCCAGCACCCTGTAATCCCCCCAGCCCTGCGTTAGCTCGGGCTGGTTTACACTGCCTTCGCTTTCCCCTCCGCTGCCCGCTCGGCTGCTCCCCGTCTCTGTTCCCAGGCGAGCTCTTGCCTTTTCATCGTGCCCCAGCAGCCGTTCCCTGCTGAGCCCTCCAGCCTCAGCCCCAGGTCCCTTGGTGGGTCAGAGCTCCACGAGCATCCTCCCTGTGCACTGTTCCTGCCCCAAGGGACAAGCACCCATTCCTGCCAGCCCCTGTGCCGGGCAGCAAGGAGAGTTGCTGGCTCCTGGTTAATGAGCTGGCACTAAAATTTGGCTATAAATAGCCCTTTTTTGGAAAGCAACGGCTTTGCTCGGCCTGTTTAGGTACCTGCCAAGTTATGACAAAGCAGCAGAGTAATGTTGCGTAAGGGTCTTGGGTTTGACAGGCCGATATTTCCTGAGCCTTTGGCTGCAGTCAGATCCCCAGGGAGAACCTGAAACACGTAAGCATCTCCTGGGCTGCAGCGGTCCAGGGCAGCACAGAGGCTGCAGTGGTGTAACCATCCTCCCACCCACCGTGAGTGCTGCCCCGCCGGTGCGGGCACTCAGGTACTGACCCTGCTGCAACCTTCTCCAGCCCGTTTTACACGCACATATTAGCTATAACCCCATGTTACCCACAAATGGATCTGCGACTGGGGATCACAATGAGTGATGGTCTTTCTCTGGGCCTAAGAAAACACACCCAATGCCTGCTGGCAAGAGACCCCCTCCATCCCAGCCTGATGCTCAGGTTGACTTCCATGCCCATGTTGCCCCAGCAGCTTCCCAAAGGCCTTGCAGGACTTTTTTTCCCACTGCAGCAGGGGATGGAGATTTCTGGTGTGTCCTGTCCTCCCCGAGGTCAATATTACATACATTTCTGTACTGAGCCTCGTCCCAGCAGGGTCCCCTCAGGGCTGGGGTGCACTCGCTAGGGAGGGCCTTTTCTGTACTTCATGGGGGTATGAAAAAGCAAAGCAGGAAAAATGTGTTGGGTTGGTAAAGGGAAGAGCAATATTTGCTTGAGGAGGGTAAACGAGGGTTGCACAAGCAAGCAATTGGTTTGCACAATCAGAAGCAGTGGAATTATTTAACTTAACAAGTTACCACTGATCATCTGAGCTGCACTTTCTCAGGGGTTTTAGGCCAAAACATCTTATTCTTAAGCTGAAACAAATTAAGGTAAGGCACCTGGTCCAGGAGTGCAACTCCGCTGACACACAACTGCTCCTTGGCACATCCCTCAGTGGGAAGGAAAGGGTCACAAAATAATTTGAGGGGGATTGCAAAGTGTTGGACTGCGAAGAAATCAGCAGCAGTTCAGACCCTCCAGGACAGAGAAATGAATTCAGAATGGGCTGCAAGTGCTTAGAGCAAGCCTTCACACTTGCCAGGAATCTGCTAACTACCTTTAATTGCTGGCAGCAACTCTGGTCCTCCACTGTAGGGGAGAGCCCAGCAAAACCATCTAAGCCAGCAATTACAGCCATTCCTCATTCTCCATCTGTGAAGCAATCATGTAGCTTAAGACAACAGGGGACTTTGTCACAAAGGAGCTACAAGGGACAGATACTTTGAGGTGGTTCAATAAACAAACCTCCCCTTGTCAACGCGCTGCAGTCTCAGCCCTAAAGGACACGCCAAAATCCAGCACAGAAGGAGCCAGGAGGCTGAGCGAGAGGATTATTTTCTTCTGCTCCTGTATTTCATTTGGAGTAACAGCTCTGGGATGCTCCTGTCCAGCTTTTCACTTGCTGCGGTTGCATCCCACAAAACTGTTGCCTTCCATCGTGCTGGTCCTGCGGCAGAGCGGGGCGGCCTGTGCTGGCACCTCCAAAGGTGCAAGTCTTGGCACCAGGGCCCGTATTTGTGTATTTTCCAAGGAGATCAGCAGAAAGCCAGACCTAGGCAGTGCCTGGAGGCACAAGCCATTGCTGGGAGAAGACAACTTCTCCCAGAGGAGCTCTGTGCATCGGGCAATGGTTGGTCATGAGCCAGCAGCTGCAGCTCCACCTTGGCCTTCTTCCTTATAACCTGAGCACCAGTGCAAGGGTTTGGTAAAACCCAGTCGCAGGGTATGGAGAGGTGCTTTCTGGAGATGGAGTAGCCTCCTCTGCAGCCTGGTGCTCTGGAGGGAAAGGAGACCTCCAGCCATGCAGACAGCCCTCTGCATGAGTCTTGCACAAACTGCCAGAATGACCTATTTCTGCGTCTGTGGGATGTCCCTCTCCTTGGCCCCCTCAGAGGGTTTTGCAAGGACTGACCATTTTAAGCACGTGTTAGTGAAATCCAGCTCCCCAGCTCGGGATGTCTAATACCACATTTGCAATGCCTTGGACTTCAGAGGTTTTCCAAATCCCTCAAGGCTGTAAGGCTAATTTAGACCAGCATCTGGAGTTTTACAAGGCACAGACGAGGTAGCGCTCTATTCGTTCTCTTCCCTTTCTTATACCCAATACGTACCTGGCACTGCTCGAGAAAACAGACGTGGGAAGTGCTCTGGAAAGAAGCCAGGGTCACTGGGCAAGGGTGAACCTTCCCTCGTACTGCTCTGATGCAGAGTCAAAAAAGACCCTGCCGCCGCGGAGGTGAGATGGTCCATCTGCTGCAGGGAGAGCAACCACTGCTCCTCACTCCCTGCGGTGTGTTGGGCCCCTGAATCTCGATGCAGGAGTGTCCTGGGGCTGGCACCAGCACTGCTTGGTGGCAGCCGGGAGTGCCAGGGCAGAGGAGACTTCAGTGAGGGCTGCTGATGCTGTGAAGGGTCTGCAGCCAAACAAAACTATCGCTTGTCTGAAATTTCCCCAAAAAATTGTCCAACTTGGTCTAGCTCAGTAACTAGCTGAAGAGTAAAAAGGGCAGATAAAATAATCGTTTTGCAGGAGGAGAGAGAGGGGATAGATTAACTAGCAGTGCCTTATGCAGTATGGCCAGAACCAGAGTGTTCTGAACGCTCACACACCGTAACACTCTCCATGTGCTCCCCTGTCTGGGAATATTCACCAGAAGCTGAACCTCCCGTGCTCTCCCGACTCCCTTGCACCCACCACAAGGTATTTAAGGACGTTTTAAAAGCTATAAAGGTAAAAATCATACTTAGGGGAACTGTTACCACAGTGTAGAGCACTGCTTCACTACAGGTTTTTAAAATGTGATGAGCTGTTTTTCCCCCAGGGTAACACACAAGCGTTCAGGCTCCCCAGCCACTTCAAATTCAAGCTCTTTGTCTTTTGGTACCAGGCACACAGACCTGTGCAGTTCCCAGCACCCCTTCACCTCCCCAAACACTTCATCACCCAAATTTGTACTGCCACATGCTTTAAAACCTCTGCAATTCTCTTAACGAGCCTCATAACACAGGCATCTTTCGAAGCCCTTACTCCTTGAGTTATCTGACTTAGTACAAGACCATCAGCTTTCAAACAGAGTATGGCTCTCCAGTTTGTAGCATCGCAAGAATCCTCTAAAACCGTGACTTCCCAAAAGCTTTTAAAAGCTGACAGCAAAAGACCAGCACCCCAAAAGATCAGCTGCCCGCTGGCCCCACTGCCACTCGCAGTCTGGTGCCTGTGGGAAACAGCCAGCCCCCGATACACCCTCTAATTAATACATGAAAACACAGCAGCCAGGGCAGGAATAAGAGCAAATCCTTTACAAGCAAAGGCTGCCAGAGCGAGGAGCTGTGTTGGATAATAAATCTACTTTAATATTTCTCCCCCAAAAAGAAACCAAACTTCCACCTATTCTAGGGCAAACTCAAAAGGTTTTATTTTATTTTTTTTTTTTAGCAAATTCTATCACGTAAATGTTAACAAAAAACATCTGTACAATTGCCATGATACACTCAAAAGTGAAACAAATAAGATATAAATACAGATATGGATGTAACATGACAAAAGCGGAAAAAATAGAAAAAAATACATGCGCATGAACACGGTGCCAACAAAGTAATTTCTCATGGCTGGCTTTTTTCAGAGCAGTTTTTACTTCCCATTTAAAACATTGTTAGCAACATCCTGCTGTATACTACAAAGGTCTATTTTTCTGTCCCTTAATATGTAATATTATGCTTGATAAATAAAGGGGTGGGGAGAAAAGGTTTTGATGACAAAGATGCGAGTTACATTACTTATACAGGTTATTGGTAAGCTAGTAATAAGCAATAAAAAAGACAGTCTCATATTGTATTGTAATCCAGGCAAGCACACATAGTGTACCTTAAGAAAGCCACATGCCTCGATATTTCTGCACTACATGAGAACTACAGTACGTAGACCTGTGGGGCGGATGGATCCGGTATTTGCCCATGCCCACGGAGCACTGGTGCAGCCAATGGCAGAAAAAACATCCACATCTGAGATTTCGGCAACCTTGCAGCCAGGAGCCGCTGTCTGCTGAGAGTTTTCTCTCATTCAGACTTTTAAAGCATGGTGGGCAAAGAAAATACATTTTTTTTTTTTTTTACTTTTTTTTTTTTTTTTTTAAAGGTATGAAAAATTGAAGCCCTGCATAATGGGCAGCAAGGGGAAAAAAAAAAAAAAAAAAAAAGAAAGGCAGCTGCAGTAGGTGGCTACTGCTGGGAGAACGTGAACACAAGCTTCACCGGTGCGGTGAGGCACTGCCAGCATGCAGATCTTTCTCTGCAAGCGTGCGTGGACACTGTGATTTGTAGCCAGAGAGACCTTTATGCTTGCTGAAGAGAAAACAAAATGATTGTACAGCTTGCTGAAGTCAGAACGCTGGAGATCAGAGAGGTGACATTCAGAGCTAGCCCTTTGAGTACTTCAAAGGAAACACAAAAAAAAAAAAAAAATTAATCGGGTCATGTTCAACATACTAAACAACCTTACTATGTACATTATACGCAATGATTTATAAATACCTAAGCAGAACGTTCTCTACTGTATACAGGTATAACATACTTCTAGAGTACTCAAGGGATGGACAGTCCTCGACTGACTCACATAACAAAATTAATTAGCACATTAATGAGCCTCTGTTGACAAACAGAACCGAATCTGATTCAGAAAGTAAGGCCTGGTTCCACCATCTGCAGCCCCACGCGTGCCGACAGTATCGGCGGACGCCGGCTCGTCGCTGGAGGCGCGGCAGGTCGCGCGCGTCTTCCCGAGGACGAGCCGTCAACTCCTACTGCAGCGTCAGCGCGCACCAGGGGCAGTTCAGGGACGTTACAGTGCGTTCACTCTCAGTGCATACTAACAGGATTTTATAAAATATATAAAATCACTTGAGAAGGAATTCAATTCCTGGAGATTTGCTACAGTGTGCCATTCAAAAGGAAAACCAAAACCAAGCAAACAGCAAAGGGTGATGGACCAAGCTCCATCACAGTTGGGAGGGACTAATCACCATCTGGTCAGCTATGCTGACCTTCTGCACCCCAGAACTGGAACAGAAGATGCTGAACTGAGATGGGGAGAGAGAGAGAGAGAGAGAGAGAGAGGCATAAATACCAAGCAGTTCAGAGTTCAAATTTAAAAAAAAAACAAAATAAAACCAAAAAAATTCCGAACAAAACCCCAAACCCACTACTAAAAATTCAAACAAGACAGCTAACTGCTGCCAACAAGTTGGCTGTTTCCTCAAAAGGGAAAATAAAAATTTGTGTTAAACTAAAATAATTTGAATCATTCAAAAAATTAAAAAAGAATATTCTACCAAGCATACTCAAAGATGTTGAAAAGAAATGGTCCACGGAAAGGGAGACACCAACCATGGAGCAGCCAAACCTCCCTCTAGTGAAGATGGCTTTTCTGAGCCTGCAGAAAGACCCTGGGTGAATCCCACCCACCAGGATCTCATGGTTTCTCCTGCCACAGCGTTATTCATTGGGAAAGATGAGGGAAGTAGCCCTGCAGCCAGCAAAAGCCTGGACACATCCTGACAAGCTCAGGAGCAGGTCACCTCCCCTGCTCTCACATCAGCAGGGAAAGGGACCGACAAGCTTCGCAGCCCAATCCCACACAGTCCCCACCAGCCCCAATCCCTCCTGAGCTGGGGACTGGGAGGGGAGCTGGCACCAAGCGTCACCTCCCGGCACAGCTCCTCAGGGCCGGGGCTGACACACACAGGGGTAAGCTGATGGAAAGGGAGGACAACGGGGCTTCACCCTCCCCACTGCGCTGCCCTGCTGCCATACTGGGAACTCTCACACTCTCAGCACGCTACCGAGGTGTCCCTTCAGCTCCCCAACAGGGAGATGGAGAGGGCTGGAGAGACACCGAGGCACTGAGAGCAGCCAGGGAGCACACCTTCATCACCACAGCTGCACCCAGAGCTGCAGACCCACCATCCTCCTGTGACCCTGGCACTGGGGGGCAAAACCCCAGTTCTGATCCATCGCAGGTTTGGGGTGGGCATGCCTGTCATCCAGGATCCAGCTCAGGGCCAAACACAGCATTAGCGTCCTCCTGCTTCCCCCGGTTACAGGCAGAGGCAGGAGGAGCTCACCCTTTGCAAACAGAAGCGTCTCCCTTTGGGAAGGGCTGGTGCTGTGGGGTGTTTGCTGTTGGTTTGGCTCTGACTTGGTCCGTGTCATCAAGGCTGCAAAAGGATTTGCCCCGCTGCACCCTCACCCAGAGCAGCCTGCTGACAGCACTGCTCCTCCACACCCCTCCAAAACGCCGAGCACCCAGCAGGGCCGTGCGTGGGGCTGGCCGGGAAGCAGGAGGTTTCTAAAGGCAGCTAACAGCACTGCAGGCTCTTCAGGCACAGGCAGGGAGCTGTGGCAGGCAACCAGCACTGTCCCAGCTGGCTCAGAAGGTGCTTCCACGGCGTCTTTCCGTTCCGTTTCAGACACCCTTTCTGTCCTCTGGGATGAACATTTTGCTCGAAACACAAAGGAGTTGTGGGGACAAGGCCAATCACTACCCAACACCAGTGGGTCAGCTCCGAGCAGCAGATCAGCCCTTCAGACTTGAAGAAAAATGCAGCTATAGCCTCACAAGGCAGCACTGAGATACAGCCCTGCCAGCTCCCACTGCCCACCCAGGGACACACTTGAGAGCCTAATCCAACACCCACCCACCTAGCTCCAGTGTCCCATTTGCAGGCATCGGTCCCAGAATTGGGTCTCGGGTTCCCTCTGGGGCCTAACAAGTAATCCAGAGAGTCTTATGAGCATATGAAAGAGCCGAACGGGTTTGGAGGGGAGAAATATTTACACAGTCAATGAAAGGAGCAAGAGCCCAGCTGGTTTGCACAGCACAGCTGGCTGGAGAACGGTTACAGAGAAACCAGCCCATCAGAGGTCTGTCGGAAGAACTATGTACAAAAACTCAGATGTTTAAAAAGAACCTACTTTTTCATTACTTGCTGGAGATCTCTCAGTATTAAAGCATCTGAGGCTGAAATCACAGCCACATCTGCAAAGATCTCCCCATGGAGAGCCCTAGCCCTGCACGTTAGGCAAGCTGCAACAGGGGGTACAAAACAGGACCACGAGACTTGTAAGAAGAGGAGAACCTAAGCCAGAACGGCTGCAGGGAGAGAGCAGGTAACTAGCACACAGAAACCAAAACTGGGTATGAATTAAACCAACAAGATTCGTTTGACCTTTATGTGTGTCCAGGTTCTTGGACTCAGTTTTGGAACGCTAACCTAAACATATTTCTGAGATTTCAGCAGGCTATACAAATATGTTTAAGTATGGCTTTCTGTTGTTCACTTTTAATGAAGACTGCAACACAGACCTTGCTTTCTTTACATTCAATACCAGTAAGATTCTACATAAAAGCTTTTAAGGGACTAAAATACTGATTGCAATAAATATCTGCACGGCCTCCTTGAGCTGATGGAGCACGCCAGTGAAGAGTAGCAGAAAGGTCTCTGAGAGGCACCGTTGATTGCTTCTAAGTCTACACATATGTCCACATATCTCCATTAACTGTGCGTTGAAACATCTGAAGAGGAACTGCTGTTGCTGTTGGTGGTCTGGGCCCTCTTTATGTACAAGTTTAGTAGCTTCATCTGAAAGAAACAAACAAACGTCAGGAGAAGATGCCAGGAAAAACAGGCAGACTAGGGTCAACTGCAAATCTTAAAACTTGCTTTCTGCAGTGAACTCAGTTCTGAGCTGACACTGGGCGCTCTGGCGGAAAAGCAGAAGCAAAGCTGAACATATTTCAGAACAGACAGCCGCAGGAGGGTACACCTAGTCCCACTGAGGTTACAGACAGTTTTCATGGGATTTAGAAAGACCTCTTGCATTTCTCTTCAGCAGCCATCAGTTCACAGATCTCAATCCTGCAGCCTGCTCTGAGCAAACAGGATTCCTACAGCGGTCAGTGGGGCTGCAGGCACACCAGGGATCAGAGAGCCACAGTCCCTCCTAGGAAACACCCGGAACTCTCCATGCTTTATAAAATGTTAATTTTCAATGGCATTTAAATATCTTCACTAACTTGGTACATCTAGTGAAACTGCAGCTGTTATGACTATATACTTCCTTTGCATGGGTTTGTTTTCTCTGCCTTTTCACCTTAGCTCCAGATCCTCCAATGACTCACGCACACGCTTAACTTTAAACATGCAGGCAGTCTGCATAAACCCACAAGAATTACTCACATGTTTATAGTTATGTGGTGGTTCTAAGTCCGTGGCACCTAGGATACTGGGATAATGAAGTCTCTACAGTATTTTATAGGGGGATTTCCTAACTGCCCAAATGTAATGAGGTAAAACCTCAGCACCCACAACTGTCTCTTTCCAGAGCAACTTGGAGGCATAAGTAATTTGTTTAAGGACAAGACAACTCAATTCACAAGTAAAATCCAAATGTCTTCAGTCTCAGGTTGTTGTGGTCTACACCACACTTCCTACCCATGAAAGAAATTATTGCTTAAAAAAACAGAACAAAGCCCTCTCTGAACTAAGCAGCTATTCACATACAGAGATCTTGTTCAGAAAAAAAACTGCAGAATTTATCTTAAAATTGCAGAGAAATCTTGGGTATGACAACTTCAAACAGGAGAAGAAACCTTGTGACAGCTTCCTGAGCAGCTCTGAAAAGCAATCAACCACCACCCGCCTCAACACAAAATGTCAGCTCTTGTCTGAAGGACAGAGCTGAATTAGGACTTGGTTTCACTTGCAGCATATCAGGTCAGAATTTGAATTTTGCTGCTAACCTGACTCCAGGTCACACAGTCCTTTTTTAAGAGTCAACTTGAGCTTGCTGATGTCCCAGGAGGAAAGGGACACATCTGCCATGCTATTAGGAGTGAAGCTTTACCTGCATTTCTACCAGCCCTAATCACAACCTGCTGCTGAGGACGTGCTCTCCCACCCATCCCAGCTATGTGTTCCCACTACTCTTTCCACTACATTACCTGTGCAGCTGCAGAGCAGACTGAAAGCTAATTAATTTGTATTGCAGATCTGGTTTTCAGCCAGAGCAGCTAGCTGACCCAACTCGCTGCACAGTCACCCCTGGATGCAACGCCGAAGGGGCGAGGTAAACATAGCTGTAGTGGGAAGGACCCACTTGGTGGCAGCCCGCAGTTACACAGGATCAAATGTGTCATGAAACCGATCCCTGAGCACCATCGAAACTTGCTTAGTGGGATTTCAAATGCTCACACTGCTGAGCAAGGGCTGTGCTGTTCTAGTGGTGTTGGCATGGCAAGATAGGATTTAACAGAGTACAGGGAACTTGTCCCAGGGCTGCCATGAAGCTACTGGTCTTGCTGATAGTAGTGCAAGCCATTCAGCTGGCTAGCATCAAACCACCAGATGCATTACTCTCATACCTTGCTTCCCGTGAGTTGTGCGAGATGAGGTTTCAGTTCTTCTCCAATTACTGAATAAATTGCCACTAGGCAAAATACGCTAGCTTTACGGACACTGCTCTCCGTATTATCATAACCCTAGGAAACAAGGAAGAAAGGTCAGAAGTCAAACAACATTAACATCCTTCCAGAGCAATATACTACAGAGCTGATGAACATTTTGCAAGTGTGGCTGACCTAACAGACCAATAGAAGGGTCTTGCTTAACATAACAGTTTGCAACCTGAATATTCAAAGAGTGTGAAAATACAATCACCCAGTACATCCTATTTGTTCCTTATATTATTAGTTATTACTATCGTGTTAATAAGTTATTAATATCTTACTATTTATGGCATTAAGCAACAATACACTGTTTTCCAACATGAGCTTAGGACTTTATCAAATATACACACTTCTCTATCCAGTTCAGATGACCATACGCTATCCTGGATGGTCAGGACTTCTTGGAGGAGAGCACTCGTGCTCCCAGGTTGCCTTCAGAAAAGTCTTAAACACTGTGCTACACACTGAACTACGTCTGTAACCTGGAGCTTTTTGATTACTTATCCAGTAGGAAATACCACAGAACAGAACATGTAGGTGTGAACACACCCTGTAGGTGTGCCGGATCTCTGGCAGCTTCAGGAGAGCTCAAGCTAGCCACCAGGTCACGCAGCAGCGGGTGACCTCAGTCCTGTACTCAGGCAGGGATCCATCACTAAGCAGCCATCCCAGGAGAAACGCAGACATCACTTCAGCCTGCGGGACGCTGGCTCCTCCGGATGCAGGGTGACCTCTGCCGGGAAAGCCAGGAGGAGGGATGAGGCATGGCTGGGGCTGCCCGCTAGCAGGGCTGATGTTCTAGCTGCAGGGTCAAAATACAGTCTGAAACGACAGTCTGCAGTCCCAAAGAGCACCGGACTAGAAAAGCAGAAGACCTAAGTGAGCTCAGAGAAACACCAAGCTATTGAGGACCGAGGTGGAAAAAAGTCTGAGCCCTGGCCCACAGCAGAGGAATGCCCACGGAGACACAGCCCGCTGCTAGGCGGGCAGCTGGGACGCAGGGCTTTCTCTGTGGGTCCCAATCCAAAGGCTCCTGAACTTTTCAGATGCCTCTGCTTGACCACAAGTCTCCCTATGGGCCTGGCATTTTGCTTATGTGTGCATCCCAAATTGCTCCCACGGGGGCAGGCAGATCCGTGTGGTATTGAGGCCCGAGAGGGCTGCGTCCCAGTGGGCACTGGGCTGGTAGAGCCTGCCCCATACGCGCCAGTGGGACTGTCACCCCACCCCTCCATCTGCCAACTTGCTTGCAAGGCAGCAGCTGCTACTTCTCCCAGCATTTAATAACACAGCCCAACAGCTGGAGCACTCGCTCAGGAGATGACACGGGCTCAAAGCTCTCTTCAGCCTGAGGGTATCAAAATGCAGCGCACGGGAAAGTGCCTCGCAGCCCAGCTCTATCCTCACAGCTCCGAGGGAGCCAGGGCTCTGCACCAGGACTGAGGCAAGCACCACAACTTTCCCCAGCCAAGCCCTGTTCTTGCACGGACACTCGGCTGCTGAACTACACCCTTGTGCTCACACTGCTGGTGTCCAACGCTCCTCAGCTCTTCACCACCCTGCCGACACCCTCGGCACGGTACACAAGCACACAGGTGGTTCCCTCTGTGCACAGTCCTTCAGCCAGAAGGACCCCAAAGTACTTCCCAAACGTGAGGAGTAGATTCCTTTGATCACTATGAGTTTCTGACGTGAAGAAATACCAGTGGCAGCTCCAAGATGCAAAATGGCAAACTAGGATCCAAAACAAGATCCGTTTTAAGACATGGAAGCAATTTAATAAAACAAATGTAACTGCATTTTTAAAGGCATGCTGTTGCCAAACTTTTCCAGAGCACTGAAGCTCCACTGTTCAGATTTTTGTCTCCAACAATTATGGCTAATAGCTTTTTACAGCAAAAGTTTAGATCAATAAAGAATTGCCTGATTCTCAGAAGTTGAGATTTAAGAAAAGAATTGCAAGAGCTGACACTACAAAGTTGGCACAAATGCTATGATGCACAAGCAGAATTTCTGACTTTGCTGTGATCCTTCCAACTTTTTATGCTCACAATGAGGAGGCTTCTTTATCCCATTTCTCTACTGAAGTCTTACCAACCCAAACATGTCTCCCCTTTCACACTGACTGTTCCTGTTGCAATCCCTCCCCAATAAACACACATACATTCTCTCCTCCCTTGCTGCTACTTCCCCTCACTTCATTCTTGCTTGCAGCCTCATCCCAGTCGCTGACACTGCCAGCTGCACGTGCAGGGAACAGAAGACAACACTGATACAGCCAGCGCCAGAAGCTAAATTCACAATGTAAGACTGAACCTTAGTGCTGGCAAAGACACAGCTCCCCACCCAGCCTGAGAGGGTTATAAAAGAGGCTGAATGAAGTCAGTGAATAGTTTGGTCCTGATTTCAGACAGAAAAGAGGAAAGGACCAGCTTGCCTGCCGGGATTCAAATTCAAGTGCAAAGTACAATCAAAGCGCAGAATAGCTCAGCAGAATTGAAAGAAACTACAAGATGTATTGCTTGGGATTTACTGAGACAGCATAAGAAGTTGCTAACTCCTACTCTCAAATTTATTACCTGGCTGCTACCGGCTTGTTTAGGAGCCAGACCAAGGCATCTAATCGTGGAACATACACATAACAATCTTCATTTTCTTTTCCTTACCATTAAAAATATCAAAAGCTCAAATATAAAAAACCTAAAGGGATTAAAACTAATTTACCAAAATCTGGCCCCAGAGGGTCCATCATTCTCTCTTAGGTCACAGGCCTCACAAATTACTCACTAGTGGTTTGTACTCAGGAGCATTTGTGACATGGGATTCTGTACCTGTAACAACCCAGGAATGATATCAGGAAGGAGCTGATGCAACGATTCCTTGGAAATCCTCTCGATGACTTTTGTCTGCATTTTGATGGCAGCTAAATTAATTGGATAATCTGCAGTCTGAATGATGGGGCAAAGCACCTTGATGCATTGCTCGGGGTGGATGGAACTTGCCAGGGTGGAAGCAGCTTCTTCAGCAGCTCTGACGACCTGGAATGAAAGCAGAGCAAAACCTTATGTTAACAAGGTCACACTTTGCAGCCAACACCACCGGTGTGTACGAGGAATGACTGCCAGGAAATGCTTGGGGATGCTTGTTAGCAGATCTGCAGGAGGCTCTGTCAAGAGGTTATTGACTCAGATAATTCACATCCTTTGCCTCCAGTGACATCTTTGCTCCAGCCAGTGGTAAGGAGTCCATCCTGCCTAATGTAACTGTGCCAAAGTTGTGGTTAGTTTGAAAGTCATCTGTCACCCAAGATGGATAGGCACTCCTATCCTAGGAGAAGCGGAGAGGATGACATCTCTCTAGCTACTATCAAAGCACCTAAACCCATCAGCTTAGACTTCATACAAAATTTATCTCCTTAAACATTATAACAACACTGTTGCACCTTTTAGTATGCATCTCACCTGCTGAGTGCCCAAGCTGAGACACCCACACCTACACAGATGTGTCCTGCCATTTCCCAGCTAAATTTTTATGCTATAATCCAACCCAGGCCACAGGCACAAACAGGCTTTAGGGTGTCCCTGACCAGGCAGCTGTGCTCTCAGTACATCTAACCCATAAAGGCAGCACTGGGGTCACTATAAAATGTGAGAGGAAGAACAAGTGGAAACAGTGGTAGCATGCACCTTTTGCAACTAGCCCACGCTGTAAATCAGTCACACAAGGGACATCCTGCCCAGTATCCTGCCTCCAGTAAACAAGGGAGATCCTAAATTCAATTCCACCTTACCCTGACGGAAGGCAAATTCACAACTTCCACACTCTTTCCCAGCAGGTAGGACAGATAGCTGAAAGAAGAAAGACCCAATTCTGGTCTCTCCTCCCATGAGAGTTTATTCATTTTACATTCGGCAGTAATTGGATAAAAAAACAGGATGGGAAGGCAGGTTTTCTTTTTTCAAGTGTCTGTGCTAATTGCCAGGCAACAGAATGAAGCTTCCTCTTGGTTTCACTCTTCCTGGCCACAAATCACACACTCTTTGCTCCTTATATTCTTGTTTCGGTACAAAAGATGGAGGAAGCTTTTGCTCATCTTATCTCGCTCTCCTCTTCTCAGGACTTAATTTTAAGGGAGGGTAAATGGACAGAGATGCCCCAGTGGGCAGACTTAAATCCAACACCTCAAATTTAAGAAGAAAGAAGCTTTGACAAATCCTCATGCATAGGACCTTCCTGCCAGCCCCAGGCAGTCCCTAACTGAGCCCAGGAAGCATTATTAGAGCCTTTCAAAGCACTCCCTCTTTCCTGATTGTGCGGGAAGCTCAGACGCCTAGCCCTGGTTCTCCAGCTCATTTGAAGCTGAACTACCTGGGCTTGTCTGAAGTCAATACTTTGAAACCAGCACTAGGAAATCTGTCCCAGGCGATCTGCAAAAAAGCAAATAAACCAAACCACACGTCTCCCATCATTTACACTGAAGGCATAGCTGCTGGATTCTCCTCATGCCCCTCTTCCACATGCTGTCATGGTATGAAACTCAGGGATTTCTATTTGACTAAGGCAACCCATGGACAGATGTAGCTCTAACAAAGCCTCAAACAGAAGGTGAGCTTTTGTTATTTTTAAGTAACTACTGTGGATAATGCATGAACCAGGAGTATCTGGAAGTTTATCTCCATCCTTACTAAGGCAAGAATGTCTCCCTGCCTGGATTACAAAACACTTTCCAGAAAGGTTTAACTGATTTTTTAAAATAGCAGCAATGAATAGTGACCAGAAGAGATAATCTCCATCTACAAAGCCCGCATCACTCTCAATCTTAGAATCAGGGCCACACTGCTATCATTTATCTTCCACTCATGCTGACAGCTATCACCCTGAAACAGGAATGGTCCCACTTGTACACCCAGGAAATAACAAAACTCATCCGCCTGACTCTTGGCATACTCTAAGGCAAACACAACAGCGAACGTGATCTCAGATACTTCACATACCACAAATATTGCATGCAGGCAGGATGGTGAAGCAGACCTGAGACTGTGACTGCTTCTCTATCAGTGCTCTATTTACAGAAGAAAAGCTGTCAAATTGCTCCATCTACTTCAGACCTTTCTCAGCATTTAATTATAATATTAAAACATACTCCAAAAATAATGGCAATCCACAGAGTGGTCAATATTCAAAAAATTTAATGCTGAAAGATCTGTGAATGAGCAACCAAGAGAAACAGAACGCTTGTTTTCCCACTTCCAGCATGTTTTCCTTCTTCCAGCTATTCCTTTGCTAATTCGTCTTAAATTTCACACATGAAAAGCATGAAAGTTAATATTTTTCCATGTAAGCTAGTACTAGCTTAGAAGCAAGCACTATGCGATTTTGTTGGGAAGGGAGAGAAACACCCAAGCACTTAAGGGAAACCTAATGCCATGCTTTGGTACCATGGTGTTGAATTCCTGGAATGGATGAAGTCAGGAGCTCCCAGGAGGTCTCTTTTAAAGGAATTCACTTCTTGGCACCACAGCTTTTGACGTCTGCTTTCCCAGTGCTGAAACACTGCTACCATCAAGGTTTCCACAAACAATGCAGTGGACTTACAGAGAGCCCAGATACCTTGTAATTAATTTAACAACATTCACAAGCAAGTCACTAGCCAAAAAACTCCAACTATAATTATTTGGACACAGGTCACTTAGGATTTTGCTTTGCAACAACTGCAAACATTGTTAGTAAATGTTTTCAGACACTCTCAAAAAGAAAAGCTTGCACATATATCACAACGCACTAAAAAAAAAAAAAAGTAAAAAAAACTTTTTTTTTTTTTTTTTTTTAAAGAAACCTTAATTCCTCTTGGTATCCTACTTGATAAGAAAGAATCAATACTTCAGTATGCACCTATGGACAGACTCTGATCTCAAATACACTACTGCAGACTCCAAACAGTACAGGAGTTGGTAAAAAATTCAATGAGTCATTCTACCTGCGCTTCAGCTTCACATCCTGTTTGCATACAGTTTACCATGCACATTAAGTTGCAGGTATGAGGCAAGTGCATGAGACACAGCCTTTTTTTAAAAGCCTATTAACCAATTCCAAGAACAAAGGGTTAAAATACAGCTGTAATTTTTCACAAAAGAAGCGAGTATTCAAATAGCAACAAAGGTCATACACATTTTGAACACTGTAAGGTCAGCAAAAAAAAAGTTGTGAAGGTGCAGGATTTATTTATGCCCCTGCAAATACTCCTTTCAGCAAAGCTGCCCATTTCTAGCAAGGATCTGGCCGCATTTACACAGCAGTGGGGTATTTCACATCACTTCTCCCTGAAGTGCCTGCCCTCTGAATACAGAAGGATGCATGACACGTGTCCAGTAACATTCCTGCTGATATTAGCTTGTAAATGTGACAACACCATGGAGACTTCCAAGTCTTCCGAGAGCACATCTGGCAGACAGTGTCTGCATCTAAGCCACACTTCAGCAAACCCCTTAAGCGCATGTTTAATAACATGCTGAAGTCTCATTGACATCAATGGGATTCAAGCATGTGCTCACATGCTTACTTGAATCAGAGCCTCTGCAGGTAACTAGCTCCCATCTCCCTTGGAAAGGACCAGCCCGGGACAGGGTGTAGGAAGGGGAAGGGCAATACTAGCTGAGAGTGAGCCAAAAAGACAAGCTGATCCATGCCGGCACAGAAATCCAAATGTCACCATTCTGCAATGCCAGTATCTGCCCTGTCCAAAAGGTTTTTCCTTCTGGTTTTGGCAGAACAAAACATTCAGCCACCCAGACCGACTCCGCATCCCATGAGGGAAAGCATATGTCTCTGAATACTTACACAGTGCGCTCAGAGTCCCGCTCACCTGGTAATGCCAGAGGAATCAGCAGCGTTCCCACACGAAGGGAAGTGCATTATAAAAAGATACAAACTGCCAGGTCATTTGGCAGCAAGAACACGCAATTATAGCAGAGTTTAGCAAAGATACTTTGCCGTGAGGCACAACACTTGTGTCTTGCAAATTATACATACCATACAGTATCGAAAAATCAAATATCTTTTTTAATCAGGGCTTTAACCTGACCAGCAGAGTGAAACAACCTTAAAAGGAGTGGGAGAAATGAGCAAACAGAATCAAGCAACAGGACTTCCTCCCACCTTTGGAGGCAAGATCAACAGATACACACCGGGAAGTGACGGGAATGGCTCATACTAATAGCAGACAGCACAAGAAGTAGTGGCTATGAAACGCATTCTTTAAATTAGAGAAAAAGAAAGGCGCTATTTGCTACATGTTCAGACTGGGGAACTCACTGTCACAAGAGGATTAAAAATTAGACAAGTTTACTGAAGAAAAAACAAAAGGCCAAAGCACACAGAGAGGCACGCAGAACCATTAGCATGTGCAGGCTGTAAGCTTCAGAGAGCTGGAAGGAGGGGGACTATCCACAGGGAAACATCACTGTATGCTTTCTTCCTGCTAGTCAGTCAAGTAGTGTATTAAGTGAAGGAAACTTTTTGCCTGACCTAATATAATTATTCTCAGCGATCTCAATAATATGAAAAAATCCTAGCAAAGCCATCAAATGATGATGGGAGTTGGAAGCAGCGTGTTCAAAGAGGCGGCTATGAAGTAAGATGTGAAAGACTAGAGAAAGCCTGCAGTGCTTTCAAAACACAGACACTAAGCTGTATGTAAGAGATGTCACAAACATGATTTTACTTCCCGTAAAAGCTTAGAGCAAACCATGGCTTGAACTGGATAGTTCGATATCATTCAACACAGGGCAGGTAGCCCAGGAATGCAGATCTAAAAGATAGCGCTTTGCCTTGAAGAAGCAGGTTTTTCTCCTTTCCAATGCTTAGCTTACACTCTACACACCAGAGACCAGATTCAGCCTGACCTTTCCTGGCATAACATAAACTGTGTTTGCTGGTGTGTTCCTGTGGTGCATTAAGACCTCCTCAGTGAGTCTCCCAAAAGAGATAAATCGTTATACTTCCACCCAGTTTGCTTTAGGGAAGGAATCATATTCACATG